CAGTTTTCAGTTTCAGTACCCTTCTCTCCTGTTAGGGCGTCGCTTTGATCAGTTTCCACCATGTTGATCTCTCCAATGCATGCAGGCTCGGAGTAGTTGGTGTCTGCGACGTCCAAGGGATCTTCGTCCACTTTCATCTTCACCTTATCAGCAAACTTTAGTCTGCCATATTTGATTGCGTTTTGAATTAGGTCCCTGAAAAGAAAACATTGTGAGGTTTTGTGGCCTAGGAAACTATGATATTTGCAAAATCCTCTCTTCTTTCTCTGATACAAAGGAGGTATTTTGACATTTGATGGCACAATTAGTTGGCCATCTTTGACAAGTAAGTCAAAAATCTCGTCACATTTAGTGACATCGAAGGTATAAACCTTCTTTGGGAATTTGTCACTTTTCTCATTTTCAACAATCTCTTTCCCTTTTGTGGGAACCAATAATTTGCAGGAATAAGGCGGAGCCTGTTTTAATTCAGCGAGGTCGATTTCGACCTCTTCGAATTCGAATTCAGGATATTCTTCTGCTTCCTCAGTCCCAACATAGGAAATCCTTTCTTTCTTGCTATTCTTAAAGACTCTGGCTTTTTCGGTCTTTAGCCTTTCGACCTGTCGAACCCTATCGGCTAACTGAGCCATATCCCTCAAATATTGAGTGTCTAGTTTCTTTCGAATATAATAATCTAAGCCACCAGCGGCCATTTCGACTAACTCATGTTCAGGCACTACTGTGTAACATCTGGATTTCAAAAGCCTAAATCTATTCAGATAATCATCTATGGGTTCGGTGAACTTTCTCTTAACACTGGCCAATTCCTTCAAGCTTATTTTCGACTGTCCCATGTAAAATTGTTCATGGAATAATCTCTCCAAGAGAGCCCAAGTATCAATGGACCCAGGAGGCAAAGTGGTAAACCATGTGAAGGCGTTTTTAGTCAAGGAACTTGGGAAGTATTTGATCCTGAGATCTTCATTATTGGCTATATCTCCCGCTTCGGTTAGATATCTCGCTATGTGTTCGACTGTTGACTCATTGGTATCCCCAGCGAACTTTGTAAATTTAGGGACTTTATATCCCCTTGGTAAATCAGTATGCATTATGCAATCCAATATAGGAGAAGCATAATTTGGCCTTCTCATTCCTGTGTTGAGGCCATTCTGGGCCATGACTCTCTCTATCATGGTGGTTAGATTGTTTTCTGCCAAGATGTTATCATTTCGAATTCTATGAACGACAGCATCGGCATCTTGATTTCGACCAACCAAGACAACTCCCCTAGGTTGTTCTTCTCGAAACTCTGGGGCTTCTAGCCTTTCGACCCTTGCCCCTGGTTCCATAATTTCTCTTTGTGGGCCTGGGATTATTGGGGCTTCTAACCTTGGTGCCCTGGCCCCTAAGTTAACTTCTTCTCTGGGTGGTCTATAAATTGAGTCGTTAGCAATTTGTTCTATAACAGGCATGTTTGCTCGAAATCCCGCCTGATTCTGCCTACGCCTTTCTGGGGGAGCAAAGAAATCTGCTATTCGACTCATGTTGTCAGCGTTTTCCCTGTTTGTCACAGTCACATTTTGCACTATTGGGGCAAATATCTCCTGCATGGTTTGTGCTAACACCCCTATCATATTATGGTTACTGTCATCCATCAATTGCCTAAAAGCCAACTGGTTTTCTGTGGTTAAAATAGGCATTGTGCTATAACCCACTGACCCTTGGTTATTTGTCATAAACTGATTCGCCCCAGACCCAGACCCTAGTTGTGGGGATGAATTCGATGTGGAATTGTGTAAACCTGCCATAAAAGATGTTGGCATTCCATAAGAGGAATTTCTGGTTCTATTTCCATCGAAACCGGGTGGTCTAGTTAATGGAGTGGCGAAATGGGATTGTGTCCCTGATGGTGGAACGAATCCCCCAGGGTAACCAATGGTTCCAGTATTTCCTAAGATCGAACTATTAGTTGATATGCCACTTACTCCATTGGTGGCTATATTACTGGTTGAAGATGCAACATACTGTGCATTCGAAGGGATCACATTAGATGTTCCGATCGAAGTGGACACATTAGTGCCTGTTGTATGTGGGGCATTTTGTTCCCCTTGTTGATTGTCAGAATTAGACATTTTGTCCAAACGTTTTCTTCTGGATAAAGGTTGGTTGTTGTTGGTTATTTTACCACTTCTCAGGTTCATAAAACAGCAAACTTCTTAGGTTCCAACGTTTTTATAATGGTTATGTCTCAACAATCTTTATTTCTAATATCCAATTATTGGTCCCACCGGGTGTGCCAATTTGTTTCCAGTGATTTCTGGTAAACAACTGCTAGTCTTCCAAACTATCGAATAATCTTTCTGACTGTTATTCAATTCCTCTGGTAACTCACAGGATCGACTAGATTGATCCTAGGATTCCTTGGTCATTAGGGTAACTCTCATGATCGAACAGATATTCATGGTTGATATTTGAGTGTTGTATAGGTGTTTGGCTTATTTCGATTTCTCTCTTAAAGGTCTAAAGATGTAATCAAAATGTGCGTGTACGAAACTAAGTTGTATGAATAAATGTTAATTGTAAAGACATGTAAAATTGCATAAAAGGCAAGTAAATGGTTTCGAATTATAAAAATAGTTAATGTAAAGGATTTCTGGAACGTAAAGGGTTTGAAATATGAAGAAAGCGTTTAATGCAAGAAATCTGTAAATGACTTTAAGTAAAAATAGGCGTTCGAAGGATAAAGCTTGAAGGTAAAGGCATGGAAAGTATGACAGTTTTCTGAAATGTAAAGTGCTTGAAATGTGAAGAAAGCATTGAAATGTAAAACTTTAATGAAGAGATTTCGAAGTGAAAAGACTGTAAATGAGAAAACTTATAAATGTTATTTGACAGAAAGATAAAGGAAAGTGCTGGAAATGGTAAAAGGTTTTCATTAAATCATAAATATATGGTGCTATCATACGTACATTGCTCTTGCATTCGTTTCCCTTGCCATGTGGTAGTTTGAATGTTACTGAGTATTTAGTACAATAGATATGACACACGAAATCCTAATACTAAGACTTCTATTTATACTAATTCGACCATAACGGTCTTGCTATAGGATTATGCCACGTTCAGAACATGCAGAACAATGCCTCTTTCTTCTTTCCACGTGTCTCCAAATGCTCCAGCACATAAATTTCAAACTTCGAATGTCCCGCTTCCATTTGAATTTCAAATGCTTTGGTACTTCTCCGTTTCGAACGCACTTCCCAGACACAGCTTTGTTGTTATTTCGAGACTTCTTTAGATATGTTCCCATAATTGCCACTCGAAGCTCCAGCTTTGACATGCTTATTCGAAACACTGCTTCTGCTACTTCGAAACATGACGCTTTGCTTCATTTCGATCGAAACGTTTAATTCATTTGGCTTCTAATAATATTATCAAAATCTTCAGCCAACAAGGAGTCAAGTACTTTATTATCATTCAAACATTGTATGTAATAGTATGACCATACAGATGGTTGATGGGTAACTCTACAAATCATACATATGGACATGAGTTATCTAGAAGGAACTTTTACATCCTGCATAAAAAGATAAATGTCTAAGGGTCCAATATTAAACTAGACAAAGATGAGACGATTTATGCTTTGTGTTCAATATAGACATAAAGGTAAAAGAAATATTGAAATCATTGGCGTTGGAGGTTGGGAAAAATATGCTTGAGGTGATGAATATGATATTTGTCTGTCTAGAGGATCCTGAGCGTTTCTGACGATCTCGTTGGTTAAAGATCGACTCAACCTAGTTACTAGCATTATTACGGTTTTTTCATCTTTGTTCACGATTATATTTTGTTGTTGAGTGATGTGGAAAAGTCGAAGTATGTTTCTTACATACATTGCCAATTGGTATGAGAAAGACATATATAGTTCACAAGTGAAGTGGTGAACTAGGATTTGAATACTATAGTGACTGATCCAATGTCATAATACTCCATCCGATGGTTGTGGGTTGCATGCAAAGAGAGAAAGATGTGAGAAATAGAATATATTGGATTGATTGTTTATTATGAAAGAAGTATAAGAAAAATAAAATAGAAAGAAATATCTTTCTTTTAAAAAAAAAAAGATAAATAACCTTAAATAAAAAAATAAAAAAATAATGATGATAAAGATAAGACAAAGAGATAAATATGGAAAAAGAGAAATATAATAATATTCTCTCCAATTTCTTCTCACTTTTAGAGGGAGTTAAAATGGATGGACCCTACCTCTCTTCCCTCTTTCGCTCCTTCACTAAAAAGGAGAAGTGTGACACTTCTTTTATTATTTTCTCGCTTATATCTCTCTCGTCTCTATTTCTTCTGTTTCGATCAAAGCCTCAGAGAGAACTAGTTGGTACAAAATTGAAAGAAATTCTGAATACTGTTACTGTTACAATTTGTCACACTCCTTTAAAAAAAACAAGATTGTGATCTCACAAGAATAGTGGCACTTTAGTTTACTCCGGACATTCCGAACTATAACGATAAGTGTCATATTTTTATCAAATAGAGAAAAGTGAAAAAGAAAAAGGGTCATTTGAATACCTAGTCACAAATCAAAATAATATTAAAATACAAAGTGTGAAGTAAAAAGAGAAAAAATTCCTACTTGCAGTTCATTTATATTATCTTCTACTAAAATCTTGTGTTTTGATATTTCTTTTGGAATTTTCAAAATTAAATAGTTTATTTTCTGCCTTTGTTAGGCTTCTTTTTGGTTTTCTGGTTAATGGAAGATTTCTTGCTGGGAGTATGAGATGTTATGAAGCAGACTCTGTGGGATTGCTGAAATGACAATTAAGTGTTCATATCTGCACTTGTTTTGAAAAAGTTCAAAACTAAATGCAATTTCATTATTATAATAAGTTCTCTAACTTCTCTTCCATCATAAAAATTGTTCTGAAAATTTTAACTAATGTATATTTAAATTTGGGGTCAACCTAAAGAAACAAAAAGTTTCTAACTATAATACTAATAAACATTTATCTGCTTTCTTCCCTATAGTTAAGTTCAACGGCTTCATGGTCTAGTGGTTGAATCCTTATAGTGATTTCCGGCACTGGCAACACAATTGGTTGCACTTGCGACCCACCAATCTTTGGACAAGTTTCAAGAAGGCACTGTCTACACTTGGGACATGATGAGTGTTCCTTTAGCCATTCGTCAATGCAACCAACATGAAAACCATGGTTGCATTTAGGCAAAATGCGCACCTTTTCACCCTTTGTAAATTCCGAGAGACATATCATACACTCCGTATCCAAACCCGGTAATTTCAGCTCAGTTGAATAACTCGCTGTCGGGAATGTCCTGAGAGCTTTCTTCTTGATTCCTTTGTTGACCAATTGAGGTGAAGAGTTGCTGCTCGAACTCGAAGCATAGCCGTTGTTGATGGCTGCGTTTGAAAACCTCAAAGCACACCTTACGATGGAGATTAATGCAAGTGAGCAAATAAAAGTACATAATAGGACTGTAAGTATCATGCCTACATTTGAATCAATTGGGAGTTGGAGGAGTAACCTTCTTGTGTGGGAATCCACAAGAAGGTCATGATGGAGTCTTGAAGTAAAGGAAGTAGAAGCATACATGTTTTTTTGTTGGGGAACTTTATCACTTTATTACTTAAAGCTTGAGGGTTGTTATATTGTCCTAGATAAGAAACTATATATATAGGGAAGTTATATTGGTATGGTATCTAGCTTTAATTAAAGTTCGAATAAACTATTTATTATTATGCAATAAGGGTATAGTGCTTTAATGTGTTTTTATCTTCTTCTTTTTTTCTCCACTGATCACTATGTCTTTCTGTATATGTAGTATTTAATTTGGTTTGTGTATATATAGGCCCCATTTAAATTCCATTTTATGCGAAGCAGAATGCATGTAGCGGGTGACAGCATTTCATAAATCAAAGGAGGTTGCTGTTTCCCACTAAACAAAGGACCCAGCGAGCTAAATAAAGAGATAAGCCACTCCAAAAATATTTTCCAGGCTAAAAGACTTAAAAGGACTTAATGCAATGTCTCGTTTTTTTTTTGGGTGCTATGAGAAAGAAATAGATCCAAGTGGTATATTGTTTTCTTAACTGCCAACGTCGAGTTGTGTTTCTAAACATTAACATCTACCATCCAATTATGCCCATAGGACTATCATCATCTTATATTATTGGTTCAAGAAGGACCTATCTAGTTCACCAATGAAGTAATGAACTAGAATCACTACGTCAAAAAGGTTTTAGACAGCACATCTTAGACAACGATTTTATACAAAAGCGCTGCTATAAGTAAATTAAAAAATAAATCACCGAAATTGTATACGAAAATGAGTAAAAGCGCTGTTAAAAGGTCGACCTTAGACAATGCTTCTGAAAAGCGCTGCTAAAAGGGTTGTTTTAGAAAGTGCTTAAAAAAAGCCTTGGTAAGGGACCATATTAGCCAACGCTTCTCTGAAGCGCTGTCTAAAGTCATATAAATTTAAAAAAAAAATCTGAAAAGCGCTGCTAAAAGAGTTGCTTTAGAAAGCACTTAAAAAAAGCGCTGGTAAAGGACCACATTAGTCAGCGCTTCTCCGAAGCGCTGTCTAAAGTCATATAAATTTAAAAAAAAATTCGAAAAGCGCTGCTAAAAGGATTGCTTTAGAAAGCTCATAAAAAAGCGCTGGTAAAGGACCACATTAGTCAGCGCTTCTCCGAAGCGCTGTCTAAAGTCATATAAATTTTAAAAGAAAATCTTAAAAGCGCTGCTAAAGGCCCATATTAGCCAGCCTTCTCAAAAGAGATGTCTAAAGTCATATAATTAGAATTAAAAAATAGAATCCCTCCAGAACTCTTTCTATTCACAGACCTCCAGAAACGTAACACTTTTCTCTTCGTCCTTCCTCCGATACCGCCCTCCTCCCGCCGTCCCTCCGACCACCCTCCTTCCGCCGTTCCTCCGACCGCCCTCATTCCGCCGTACCTCAGTTGTCGTCCTCCATCGTATCTCAAGGTAATTTTCTCTTGTTCCTATCTCTACTGCTGCTATGGTTCTTTGGGTATTTGGTTTATAACATTTGGTTTTTTGGACTGTCTTGTAGGACTTCTATCAACCATTTCACCAACATTTGGTTTTCTTAAGCTTGGTTCAACATTTCCTTCTACATTTCTAGGTATTCATTTCCTTCTATATTTCTAGATATTTCCTTCTACATTTCTGCAAAACATGTGACCTGTTTATAAGTTCGATTAGTTAGTGATATAAACTCTGTTAGGCTGTCCATTTTTATTTAGTTTCGATGAAAGTTGGATGTTGATGTCGCGTTTATTCGTGTATAAACTAACCGAGAAACTATTAGGGCTACCCATTTTGTTTTATTTGTTAGAGTTTCGGGTTTGAATTCAATGTTGTGTCATTTTGTGTGATAAAGTTTGAAAGAGATTTTGATGCATGTTGTTATGAATTCAAGGTTTAATTCGGTTACGGTGCCACTTTGTTGCGATAGTTTGATTTCATTTTGGTTTCGATGACGGCTTGATGTCTATGCCGCGTTATTCGCATAAGATATAGTCGAGAACCGTTCATGGGGCAACAATTCATCTTTTACCGTTGCTTTGAGATTCAGACAACTTTATTGTGTAATTTGATTTAAATTCGAAAGTTTGCATGGTTGTGACATCGGATGCTTTCCCATTTTGTTTCGAATATTCTTGAGTTGAAACTATCGAGCATTCATAACTTGTTATAGTTGTTGCCCGATTTTTGTTTAATCGAATGAATCATCTGTTGAAATCAATTTTCCATGTTCCGATTCTTAAATTGTGTAACAAAATGAGCTCTTTGATTTTATTTTCATTTGAGGATTGTTATCGTGATTTTATTCTCAATTTTATGCATTTTCAATGTTAGTGTGCCTACTAAAAAGTTGGTTAAGACTTTTTTGTATTGGTGTAGTTAGTTGAAGGCCATCACCGATTTGAAGAACATCAAAGCAACATCATCCGCCGTCGGCACCAATAACCCCTCTTCTTTCTTTGGTAAGTTAAGTTCAAATTCAATATTACCGACTCGTTTATTTATTTACTATCTGCTTCCTAAATTATAAAATATTCTATCTATATCAATTAAAAAGCACAATTAATTTTATATAGAAATAATTAATTTTAGTCTATATCGATCTAGAACTAATCTGATTAAATCTTACGAAATATTTCTAAAAGTTTGTATTAATATTCTTTTTGTGTCACGAAAGTGTTTTTCTTTAGGTTCTTTTGAAATAGTTGCGTGAATAATTATAGTGTTTATGTTTACCTTAATTAGTAGTAATTCCATGGATAAAAAATGGATGACTGTCGACCGATTTTCAAAAGAGTACGAGAATGGGGTATTGGAATTTGTTAAGCTTGCTATTGAACACGTCAAAGACTCCAGTCGAACGAAATGTCCTTGCTTGGGTTGTTGTTATGTAGGTCGGGTTGATGCAGATGGATTGAAATCGCATTTACTGAAGCGTGGGATTAATCGAAGTTATAAGTGTTGGATATATCATGGTGAGAAAATTAACGAGAATGTTGAACCGGGGGAGAAAAGTAATACGACGACCTACGCTCCAGACGACAATGACACGGATACATACGATTGTGATCGAGTCGAAGAGATTGCAAAAGCACTTGAAGAAGATCTTAAGGATTGTCCCAAAATGTTTGAGAGGTTGGTAAGTGATGCAGAGAAACCGTTGTATAAAGGTTGCACTAAATTCACAAGACTGTCTGCGGTATTAAAGTTGTACAACTTAAAGGCGGGAAATGGATGGTCAGATAAAAGTTTCACAGAGTTATTAGCCCTTATGAGAGATATGATTCTGGAGGATAATATTCTTCCTAATCGAACCCATGAGGCCAAAAAAATGTTGTGCTCCATTGGCATGAGCTATGATAAGATACATGCTTATCCAAAAATTGTGTTTTCTTTCTAAACAAATATGCATCGTTAAACGAGTGCCCTAAATGCAGTTTATCTCGATATAAGAAAAAAGTGTCTCCAGCAAAAGTCTTATGGTATTTTCCTATAATTCAGAGATTTAGGTGCATGTTTCGTAGTGAAACTGATGTAAGACACTTGACTTGGAATGCATATGAAAGAATTATTGATGGAAAGTATCGACATCCGGCAGATTCACCACAGTGGTCGAAAATTGATGATGATTATCCTGATTTTGGAGAAGAAGCAAGAAACCTTCGCTTGGCATTATCTACTGATGGAATGAACCCACGTGGTCTTCAAAGTATCTCACATACCACATGGCATGTGATTCTTATGATTTATAACCTACCTCCATGGCTATGTATGAAGCGTAAGTACATGATGTTATCTATGTTAATTTTTTGGGCCTAAACAACAAGGGAATAACATAGATGTATACTTGACACCTTTGATAGAAGATTTAAAGATTTTATGGGAGAACGGTGTGGAGGTTTATGATGGAACAAGGAAAAATATTTTCAATTTGAGAGTGATGTTGTTTGGCACAATTAATGATTTTCCAGCATACGGGAATCTATCTGGGTATAACATTAAAGGTCAATGTGTGTGTCATGTTTGTGAAGATGGAACCGATACGACGTGATTGGAACTTTTTCAAAAGAATGTGTTTCTCGGTCATCGTAGATTCTTACATTCTAAACATCACTACCGTGGGTGGACAAAAGTATTCAATGGAGACATCAAACAACGTAAAGCTCCACATGCATTGTCAGGTGACCAAATTTTTTAAAAGGTGAAAGATGTGTGTACTTAGTTTGGCAAGCCTTTTGCACATAAGGTTGTCAAAGGTGGGTGGAAGAAGAGGTCGATTTTTTTTGAATTACCATATTGGAAGTCCTTGTATGTGAGACATTTTCTCGATGTTATGCATATTGAAAAAAAAGTATTCGAAAGTGTTATTGGTACGTTACTCAATATAAAAGGAAAGTCTAAGGATGGCCTTAAAGAAAGGGAGGGTATGCTAAAGATGGGAATAAGAACTGAATTAGGACCCGTGAAGAAAGGAAGACGAACATATCTACCACCTGCTGCTTTTACTCTATCTAGAAAGGAGAAAAAAAGATTGTGCAAGTTTCTAAGTGAAGTTAAAGTTCAAGAAGGATACTCTTCAGATATTAGAAGACTTGTGTCTATGAAAGACCTCAAGTTGAAGAGTTTAAATACACATGATTGTCATGTTATAATGGAGCATTTTTTACCAATAGGTATACGTTCTATTTTGCCAGAAAAAGTAAGAAGCGCTATAACTAAATTGTGTTTTTTCTTTAGGCCAATTTGTAGTAAGGTGATCGATCCTGAGGTATTACCAACACTGCAAAAAGAAATATTTATTACCTTGTGTGAGCTTGATATGTATTTTCCTCCCTCTTTTTTTGACATAATGGTACATCTAGTTGTTCATCTTGTGAAAGAGACACAGTTGTGTGGACCAACTTATATGAGATGGATGTACCCTGCTGAACTTTATATGAAAATATTAAAAGGGTACGTGAAAAACCAAAGTCGCCCAGAGGGTTGTATTGTTAAACGATACATTGTTGAAGAAGCGGTTGAGTTTTGTAATGAGTATT